CACTGTAAAACATCGTCGCTAAAACATTACCGCCATCTGTTGAGTACACTGTGGAGGGTAGTACGCTGAACAGATGGCGGTAGTGTGTAAACGTCAAACGCAAGGGAATTCACTTTGCGCGCCACAGGTGGCGGTACTACCAACTACGATACTTTTCAATTGACCGTTAAATGCTTGTTCGATGAACAAATTGCGAGTGTTATGTCTGTTTGTCTGTGCTAGAACATCAGAGAAAGTTTAAGAATTTCAGACAAGTTTATATATTGAGAGAATTTCTCCCAGCTTCTAAAAAAATTAAACAAGTTTTAGAATCTTTAGAAGTCTAAACTTTTTTTTTAATGCTTTGGAAATTTTTTATAATTTCAATAATGTTCAAAGCATATAAAAAAGTTCCCTGAATCTCAAAGAAATCCAAAGAACAAAATATTTCAAGACCAAACTAACTAAAGAGAGGGTTATAGTTTTTCATTAAATATCGCAGAACATCAAGGAAGTTTGAGGAGCTTGGCAGAATATGTCAGAAGTTCAAAAAACTCTTTGAGCTTCAGAGAAGTTTATTGATTTTAAGGACGAAGGGGTAGCGGGTCTTGAATTATTAAAAAATTCTACGCTAGAGGAATGCTCCTTTAGAAAATGTGAGAATTCAGGAAAAGTTCATAGAACTTTAAATCATTTCCTAGAACTTCAGATAGTTTCCTTGCACATCAATTTTGTTTTTCGGATTGAAGTTCTAGTTCAATTAGTCCAAATACTTAATATAAGAACACCAAGCTTCTCCAAAGCTGCTAAAAAATCAAAAGAAGCTCCCAGAATTGTAGAGAATACGAAAAATCTCACAAGAATATCCCAGCATTTTAGAGAAGTTCTCAAAACGTCATAGTACCTTCAAGTACTTCAAAGGATTTTCCAGCATATACCAGGTTCAAAATAATGCACAATATATCTAGCATAAAACAAAATTTACAACACCGGTGTTTGTGGTTTTTTTATAGTTCTAAATAAACCGAAACCAGGATTTAGGACTACGTTGAAGAAGCCCGTAGAAATGATGGAATCGAAAACAACCAAAAATACACTAACGAAAAACCAAAAGCAATATTTCGAACGCTAGGCAATTTCGAAGAGATGAAGAGATGAACTAGCCTTAGGCTAAAAATCTAAGGAAAAAAAAAAAAAAAAAGGCTAGGCAATTTCCGGGACACTTGATAATGTGGGACGTTTTGCAGGACATTTGGTAATGCGGGACAGGAAGGCGAATCCGGGACGTCTTGTCACTTTAGCGTATTCCTTACGAGGCAAGGAAAAAGTGAGCCGAACACCTCAAGCCGATGCAATGCAAAAGCGCAGTTTTACGACCATTTCCGCCATTTGGAAAGCTACCGAAAAAGTAGTTTAGTTGGGTGAGAAATGCACAATAAAAAAACGCACTAGGTGAGGTTATGTTTTATGAAATTTCTCTTGTCGTTGTTTTCACTGCGGAATTTTATTTTATTAACGAATAAAAGAAAGCGGATACCTCATTGTTCGGCGGTATGTTTGAGCGAATTTTTCGCCAGAAAGAGTAAGAATAACATTAATCTCACTCATCTTCATATGCTAGAACTCTTTACTCCTTGTGTGAATCATTCGTATTCATTCACTCCACAGAAAATCCCCATAAGGATCTGTCAACCTGTGCGCCATATTTCGTAGGCCCGAATAGAAGTGAACTTCAGTCAACATTTAACCTTTTTTTTAAAGCGAAAAAGAATTGACCGATATTCCTAAACAGAGCTGAGTGCTATACATAGGTGCACTAAAAAAGATTTTATGGTTGAAAAAAAAAATTTTTTTAAGAAAAATATTTTGCGTTCTTTATTGAGCGCCTCCTTCGCTTTAAAAAAAGTGACTTTAGTGACTTTTTGACGAAAATAGAGACTTTGAAGTGACCACCTTAAAAAAAGTGACAAAGTCACTAAAAAGTGACCCGCTATCAGCCCTGAGTGATACACAGACTTGTTCCAGTCTAGTACCGTTTTTGACATTCGTAAATGAGCTGACATAATGTTGTTTTATCGCTGTTGCGTAAGTTGCGATCACAGCGAAACACGTTGTAGCCAGGTCCAAAAATCGGAGTCGAATTGATGCTATCGTCAAGTCCGGTTTCAATCAAGATGTTAACGTCATACTCGCAATCAGCAGCAGCCAGGAATAGATCATCAATTTTTGTCCGAATACCTCGTTCATTTTGGTAGTACACCCAGATCCGATTTTCAGTCGAACCAGCCGGTTGTTGCTCTTAAGGCGGTGAGGCGCTGGAAGCACCGGACGAATCAGGAGCGGAACTGGTGATGACACGAACATACTTGCCTTGAGTTGTGGGTTGGAAGACCCCTTCTCCAAGCCCACACATAGGTCCACGACGACTGCAGGACGATTACTGGATTAACTCGACTGTGGAGGAAGAGGTTTCCGTAGTGCCAACTTCAATGCGTCCCAGAGTGCTCAGGTGGCCCACCTGGTGCATGGTTGATGGTTGGTATAGCGCTAGAACCAATGGACGAATCAGAAGCGGGATTGATCATGACACGATCATACTTGCCTTGAATTGTAGGTTGGAAGAACCCTTCTCCAAGCCCACACATAGGTCCAGGACGACTGCAGGACGATTACTGGATTAACTCGACTGTGGAGGAAGAGGTTTCCGTAGTGCCAACTTCAATGCGTCCCAGAGTGCTCAGGTGGCCCACCTGGTGCATGGTTGATGGTTGGTATAGCGCTAGAACCAATGGACGAATCAGAAGCGGGATTGATCATGACACGATCATACTTGCCTTGAATTGTGAGTTGGAAGACCCCTTCTCCAAGCCCACACATAGGTCCAGGACGACTGCAGGACGATTACTGGATTAACTCGACTGTGGCGGGAGAGGAAGAGGCTTCCGTAGTGCCAAGTTCAATGCGTCCCAGAGTTCTTAGGCGACCGGTAGGTGACGTATGATTGATGACTGATAATGCTGGAACCAATGAACGAATCAGGAGTGGTACTGGTCGAGAAAACAGATCATACTTGCCTGACGTAACAGACTGGAAGACCACCCCTTTCAACTCACACACAGGGCCGGGACGACTGTAGAACGCTGGAACGAATGGCTCGACTGTGGTGAGAGAATTGTTAGCTTCCATGGTGCTAACCCAGAATGTTTTTTAACACACTCCACCGACGGGTTAAAATAGAACAGATAAACAAATGAACGAAACACGTTTGACGAATAAAAACACTATTTATGTTCAATAAAACGTTTAAAAGTATCGAACAGAAAACTGTAAACGATTGCCAACAAACAGTGAGCTACTTTTACTATCTGATGTATGTGGGAAAGTGAAACAATGAATTGTTTTAGAAGCCTTAGCCTTGAACAATTTAAATCAAGAGAAAAAGTTCTTGGAGTTGAAATCCAAGGCATGGACAATTTCTTCAAAGATCTGGGACGTATTTCTGTTTCAAGGTTTCGTACTTAGCCAAATTTTTAACATTGCGGATTTAACTTTTCATTGGAAACCACAACTATGTAAAATGGTGTCTATCAATGAATGAAGAGCTTTATAATTTACTTAGTATTTAAACCATAGAGTTATAATTTTACAGTAAAGTTTAGTAGGGAAAATGTCGGCTTCGGCAATGCCTTAACCTATTATCGTCAGCGGGGTAAACAAAGTCCTATAGCACTCAAATTTGGCCATTAGATGCTCTGAAACACAATGTATCCACATGCCAAAATTGAGCTCTCAAAGATGTTGTTTACCCCCTGACGATAATAGAATAAGCTATTGCCGAAGCCGTCAATTACCCTAGCAAAAATGTGGATTCATGTATTGAACTTTAGTCAGGATTCTTCATTTATTTTTGATTTATTTTATTACAAACCCTGCCTGGATTTGTGTTTGCCGAAAAAGCGACTGGAAAATCAGTGAATATTAGGGATTGTCCAGGTTGGAATATGACATGAAAGGGTAACCGTTGTTGATGGTTAAAATATATTGTATGGGTCTGATACAAACGTTTAAATGTGTATTTTATCTGTATTACATTTTGAAAACCTGTATTTTTTTTCTAAATTCTGTTCTCTTTCTGTATTATTTTTTCAAAATTTTATTGAATTTATAAAACTGTATTTTGTTTGTATTCTGTATCATGTCTGTATTGGCCTCTAAAAATCTGTATAATACAGCAGCCAACTCTGATAAACAAATACTCTGTTACTAGGAATGTCTCTTCTGGACTGTCCACTCCTCTTAATTAGTGGGTTCCTTCTGGATACCCCACCTCATTAACTCTATAACTAGGGGGTCCCTTCTGACTCCCCACCGCTATTTCAAACTCTGTCACTAGGGGGGACCCCTTCTGGATTCCCCAATATTCGTCAAGAGATGAACCAGCCTCTGGCTGAAAGTCTCGCTAATAAAGATAAATAACCTGTATAATACAGATAGCTCTTATCTCGATACTTTCAAGGACAAAATTTTCAAATGGACATACATAAGTGCTTTTGTAAACAATGACCTTCGATGTGTCCCTCGCCCACGCATATGTCTGAACTCATTAAAAGCTCTTTTTTCAATTGCAGTGTTTGGTGGAATCTACCAAAAGGTTTCTATAGTTTTCAGCACGTAATTGAATATTTAAAAAAAAAATGGAAATGAGAAAACAGCGTTCAATGATTTTCCAATTATTTTTTTTTTCACTGCGGTTAAAGACTGCGGTTAAAGATCTTCGAATTTCGATCCGTTGTTCGGCGAACCTCTCAGGAAGTTCTGCAGGCTTCACAGCTTCTCCATTTCATAAGCTCCATGATCCTCTCAGATGTTTATTAAACTCCAAAGATGTCTTGCATTTTTGGAAAAATGTTCAAACTTTAAAATAATAAATGCTTATTATTTCTGGATTATTTCCCAGCTTGCATCGATATTGCAAGATAATATAAACTAAAATGGTATGTTCTTGTTACTATTTCTTTCAGATATTCACCCTCATCCAGTATCCATCGAAAGCAATCATTAAGCAAAAAGTAAACCTACGGTTGCCGTATTTGTGCCGTGCTACGTGCGAGAGGAAAAAAATACCAGCAGAGAAGAATTTAGTGAAAGTTGTTTTTTCGTAAGTGGTGCCGTGTACCGTCCGGTTGAAAACAAAAACGTCGCGAAAGAAATAGAGCAAAAGCAGCAGTATTTTTTTTTTGTTTACGTCAACGAAAAGGTGATTTTCTGTGAAGAAGAAAAAAAAAATACACAAGAACTGATTCAACCCCAAGTGAAAGAAAGAAAAAGCCAGAAAGAGCTGCAAGCTGACAGAATAAATCATTCACGTAATCGCAGGCAATGCAGAGTGCAGAGGACACTTCGAATCTTATGGACACCGATCACAGTGCGTCGTTGTCCGCGTCGTCGCCACCGCTGAACAGTGCCGCCTCGTCGTCGGCCAACGTTGGAGCTGCCGCTGGCGTGCCCGGTGCCGGGCCTGGTCCGGGTGTGGTCCCACAGCCCGGGCGCACCGGCGAAGCGCTGGAATATCACTGCCGTATGCTGGAAGGTACCGATCCATCGTCGAGCCTCGAAAACAGACTCGCCATTATTCTTCTCTCTTCTCTTCTCTAAGTATCAAAAAAAAAAACAGTCCAAAGAACCGAAACAAACAAACAAAACAAAAACTTTAATATCTTGACTTTTGACTCCTTCCTAACAGTATACAGTAGTAGCCGGATCATCTCTCGGGTTTCGGGTTGTTTATGTTATTGATTTGTAAGCCAAAAACGAACAGAATCGCATTCTCACACAGAATTAACCCGTAGAAAAATATTGAGAACTATATCGCGGTTTTCGGTTTGTTTTTGTTTTTTTTTTTTTACGTTTCAATTCGGTTGTTAATTTCTTCCCCGAGGGTTGTGCCGATTTGTTTGCTCAGCTAAACGAACCGTTGCGAAATTCCTCGCGCCCGAGGGGAGAAACGGAAACAGTTCGGAAGTGTGAAAATCTGGCGCTCATCGAGAAATCTTATCACCTCATCAACGACAAGCGAACATGTGGTGTGAGAGTGGTGTGGTTATGGACGGCGGTTTATACATACATTCGTGGACACAGTTTGAACTCTAGTTTGCGGCGGCGTACGGCACTCATGGACACGATTTTGGCTTGTACATTCATTATGCAATTGTATCACAGATACGTACTGTTGTAACAGCATCACGTGCTAGCAACGAGTTCCGAAGTTTTGTGTGGTTTGATTGACAGGATAAAAGGTAAACGTTACTGTAAATGATGGGTTTGCTTTTCATTGGAAGTTTAAGATAAACGTTTTTTAACAGATCTTGGGGAAGCTACGACCAAATTGGAGTAGGTATTGACAGGCATGGAAAATCATTTGCATTCATTTACATTCATTTGCCTCTAACTTTTTTCTTGAACAGTATTCCGCAAAATGATGTATAGAGCTTTTGTATTTCAAAATCAAATTCGTATCTCTTATGCATGACGAACCAAAGTGAACAGAAGCCACTACTGTTTTTCAGTTAATGTATTTTACATTCACTGAAAAACAGTAAGAAGTTCTGCCCGCTCTAGTTCGTGATGCATAAGAGATACAGATTTGAGTTAGGAGCAAAAGTTGTAGCTAATAACAAAACCCACAAAAATTCTATACATCATTTTGTGGAATGCTGTTGATGAAAAAAGTTAGAGGCAAATGAATGTAAATGAATGCAAAAGATTTGCCATGCCTGGGTATTGAACGGTGAGAATCATAATATAGAAAAAGGAAGTCAGGCAGAACATAGAAACAGGTTTTGAAAATATCTCTCTTAAGTCTATGATGTGTTATCATACTGAAATCTAAATTTTAAATTTAAACTCGAGTCTACTACGAAGAGGTGCATAGCTAATGTTGCTTATTTTGTCATTCTGCTGCCGCGGATACACTTGTATGACAAACTATGAGCATGAGCACTACTTGCAAGTACCTTGGAGTTCTCCTTAGAATTCACTATCAGTTCTCCTTAAAAAGTTCCATCAAAATTACTTTGCAGTCTTAGTCAGAACTCTACATGAATTCTTTTTGGAATTGCCTTGAAATGCTCCACAGAATTCTCTTGTAAATTTACTTTGAATCCTACTCAGGACCCTGATTCCCTCGAAAATCTACTCAGTAATACCTTGGAATTCTCCTTACATTTGAAAAATCATCCTCTGAATTCGCTTGTAGTTATTCCTACAAATCCTTGGAAATTCTAATCAAATTAATGCATTAAAGATCATAAGCTTTGAAACTTTTGCAAGACCCTTAATTTGCAAGCTCTGGAAATCTGGGTTCTTGGAATTTATTATATTTCCGTAGTCTTGAATGTTTATTTTCTTCTAGTATCTTGAAAATTTATCAAAGTACGATTTACTTTTAATGCCTTGTTGATAGTGACAAGACTCGGCTTTGTCCATCGAGGATGATCTTGAAACAAGGAAAAAATGAGTTACTTAGTCTTCATCTTATGTGATTCCTAATATTCTATTCATTGATCCCTAGTTTGAAGTGGTTGAGACTATTGGTCTGATGTATGGTCATTATCGGTGTCATTGCTTAATTTGGTTGCTAAGGAATCCAATTTTGACTGACAAAGGGGTGCGCCTTTGGAGGGTGTTTCAACACTCCGAAGGATATAAATAGCGGGACCTTTCAATTGGAATCGATTCCTTGCGATTAAGGCAAGAATGACAACTGTATCAAAACCGAATACTTCATCATTTCTCAACAGTGATGGAGTAATACAACATGTACTAAACTAAGGACTAATTCTATTCTTAAAAATTAGCTTGATAATGGAATTTGAAATTTCCTGAGAATTCCAAGTTGTCTCAGGGAAAATAAAATTCCCTTAAGATTCCAGGACACCTTGTTATACTTCATCCTTCTCAAACTCCCTAGGAGTTTTTTCTCTGAATTACCTTGCTTTCAAATCCTAAGAATTAATTCTAAAATCACCTCAAAAATCCTTTGGAATATTCATCAAAATTATCTTAATAGTTCTTCAAAGTGACTGCATCCTGAAAATCTAGCCCATTTTTCAAGGGCCATAATCTTATTTTTTTTTTTCAGCGAAAGGACGACGTAGGGGAAATGGCTCTAATGTTGGCCTATGGATTTAAGATTGTGCCCATCGCTAAAAATCTGCTATTTATCAATTTTATCTAGATGAAGGCGTCATTGGGGCAGTACTAATGGATATTTTGGTCACTATTGAAAATTTAGTCGATTGCTGAATTTATGTATGGGCCCAAATTAGGGGCATTTAGGCCGAAATTACATCCATTTCCCCTACGTTTCAAGATCGCAACTTTTAGGGGAAATTACGTATTCTAATCAATCTAAGCAGCGTCCGTACTTTTATAAGCAATTTCTCAGCGTCGCGCACACATATGACGTGTTTGTTTGTTTACATTTATCTACTGCTTGCTATTCTATCTATTCCAATCGACAGAATTGCCCAAAATGGGTTGAAAGCGTTTTTACAACGCTCGAAACTTCTCAGATGAGTGTTACTATTGTCGGCAGCCTCTTTTTCGGCGTGTTAACCAACTGTTCTATTATCGGCAACTCGAAATCAGCCGTATTTTGTAGTCCGTGTATTCCATTTGAAGAAAAATCTTGCAAAATAGGTTTGCTCGGTCTTAAAAATTAAATCAGACTGAAGCTGAAAGACTAAGAAATCGTTAGAATACATTCAATACATATTGGTTGTCGAGGTCAATGGGTGTCGAAGCCACCATGTACCCTATATAATTTAGACAATTCTCGATGAACATTTCACATGGTCCTATCTGCTTTGATCGATTCGCTTCATCGACTTCCTCTTTTGATAACCCCTGCTATGCAAACAGACATCGTGCTATTTTTACCACATAGTTTGATAAAACGTCAAATACAACAGGGAACTGTTTTGCTGGCTTTTTTATTTTTTTGCTGAGTTATTAACGAAAGAGAAAGTCGAATAAGAGAATCAATCAATGCAGATAGGACCTTTTGATATGTTTATCTAGAAATATTTTTAATTTAAAGAAATTTGGAATGTTTTTAAAAGTTTCAAATTCTGTTGAAGTTATAACTAAATTATTCGAAGGACACTACGCCAAATTGATGGATCGAGCATAGAAATTCTATTAGAGAATAATTATATCTACGGAATTCTCGGACGAAGAAATTTTGTGAACACTACATGAGAATGTTTTTTTTTTTTTCAATATTTTAAGCTAACGCCAGCACTTAATACGATGGTTTTAAAAGACTCAGATTAAAAAAAAAATCAAGACTCTTGGAGTTTATCATAAGTTTAGGATTCTGAAACTTTGACACTATATGATGAAAATAGTGGAGGAATTCTAGGGATAATTCTGGGAAATGGAATTTGACTAGAAATTTAAGGTCATTTTAGAAGAATTAAAAAAAAAAATTTGCTTTATTATAGAGACTTTCAGCTTTTAGCTGGTTCGTCTTTTATTTCAAAAAAATGTTAAATGGAAACTAAAGGTGAATCCTGAGCTAGTCTGAAGAGACTACTATAAGGATTTTGAGTAGAATTACATGGGGTTCTAAAGCAAATCAGACAGAATTTTAAATTAATACATAATTTCAGGGAGAATTCTATGGGAATTTCCACGAGGATGCAAAGAGAATTAACCCTACGGCCAAATTAATGATGATAAGTCTAAAATCCTGAAACTACGCCTAATGATCAGTGGTGGCACGAGTCCTGGAGTTTAACATTTTTTTCCATAACATTTGATACATTTTGCGATAACCATTGTGACGACACACAAAAACAAACTGGCAAGCGGCAAAAATGTCATGACATTTCTAAACTGTTTTCTGCCAGCGACAGAACATTTTCGCACAAAGAAGCAGACAAGACCGGCGGCGCGCGCGATTTTATGTCGTGTAGAATTTTGCTGATTTCTGGCTAATTACTGCATTTATTTGATGTTTATTGCATGGAATTAAAAGATAAGAATGAAGACTAACCACTCATAAGCATTGATGTTAAAATTATGGGTAAATAAGGGAGTTGGTAATTTACTGTCACACGCAAGCCTGCAGCTAAAATTTCATTACAATAAACTGTTTGGAAAAATCAGGCTGCGAGATTTTATTTATTCTCTATCTCCGCTGTTCGCTTGGAATGTAGTTATACACGGTCGCCCGTGTGCTGGCTGTTTTGTTTCGCTCTGGACGATGGTTTTTCAAAAAATGTACTGTTGCCACCTCTGCTAATGATGACCTGCAGCTGAGAATGTCTTAAATGTCGATCAATCAATTAATCAAAGAGAAATTACGAGTTGAGCTGCAAGGAAATTTCGACGATCTAATTCTTAACATACAGTAATGACCCGATTTTGTCACCCCCTCCGGACATAAGACTTTTATCTTTCAATAATTCCACATCTTTCTCATTCATCTTCAAGGTGGATGTTTATGGTATAGTTTTGGTGAAATAAAACCACTGAATAATAAGCGCATAGGTTCCGTAGAACATTAGAAAAAAAGGGAGCTGA